AAAAAAAAAAAATGGCCTCGAGATCTCTTATACATTCGCGGTCATAGAAATTTTGATTCTTATGTTGATAACGCTGATTCTATTAAATGTTTTTGTTTATCTTTACTTTATTAAGGCTACTAGAAAACTTTAACAATGTTCAGTTTTAACCAATGGCAGAATAAAATCTGTAATTATGACCTGTATCAAAAACTGTTCTCGTCATAAATATTAAAATTGTGACGTTATATGAACTAAAGGAATTTACAAGGGAAATAGTAACGATAATAGGTTAACCCTAACCACCTATCAATGGCAGTGTATGTTCTTAAATGTAGCAAGTAAGTTCTTTAAAAAAGTTTCGTTAAATGAAAAATAAACAATAATTAGGCTTAGGTTACAGTTATAATTCTTCTTAAATGAATTACAAATGACTGTATTCTGTCTTTTGTTAGAGTATCTATGAATAAAAGTCACTTTTAGACCGACTTTTTAGCGAAATCGACAGAACTTTTAAACATTTTTTTTTTTAAAAACGGTTCTGTGAAAAACTTGAAAAGTTCCAAGGGAAAAGTTCTAGTTCCAAAATAACTGAAAAACTACCCACGATGTACACAAATTTTTTAAGTTTTTATTTCCTTTTCAAGTTCTAGTAATAAAATTTTACAAAAATTAATTGTATTTTTTGAAATGTTATTTTCCACCCATTTATTTATATATATTTTTTTATATCAATGAAACTGATATTTGATAAAGTTTTATCTCGTTTTGTCTGAAAAAATAATAAAATGCAAAAAAATAATTTCTTATTATTACTAAAATCTAAGGTTACAAAAGTTTGTAAATTTGTCGTTATATAACAATAACTAGAAATTCTAATATTGCAATTGAAACCAATGCACAGACAAGCCTTTACGAACGATTCGATCTTTCGTGACAATAGCTCATGCTTCCGGGCTCACTAGTTGACAATGCAATAACGTTTTCCTAATTTACGTCGTGATTCGTTATTCTGAAAAAAAAGTATATAGTTTATGGAATACTTATTGAGTAATATTGAAAATAGCTAATAATGACATCAACAGTGACAAGAGTTCCTGACTCAGCTTAAAGTACTGTCAGTACCTTAATGGTCAGGCACTGATTGTAGGCACAAAGCACTCCCACGCGACCATTGTAGGCTGCACCCACTGTCTTTGTCAGTCTTCTGTAATCTCTTCGTCTTTTTAAGGTTTAAGTAGACCATTAAGTGCTTTGTGATGGAGTGACAAAGTTTGTTGATAGTAAACAAAGGCTAATCTCTCCAGCTGTTGTGACAATGGCAATGTTATAAGGATGATCCCAGGTCTTCAGGAGGGAGGAACATTGCGGCTTATCGCAATATTACGCGGTCCTTATCCTCTAATTCGTTACAGATGGCGGGAATCGATGCTTTCCACTAGTTGCACAGACTTCTTAACTGAACACTTAATTGTTGGATTGTTGGATCTGGAACAGGCCAGAAACAACAGGTTCTAGCGATAATATTATTTGAGGATCCAAAGAGGTAAAATGGTATTTTTACTTTCCTAACGCTAGGTAAGAAATCTAACCAGAATGGGAAGTCTGTGCTTATGGTTTCGGACACCGATTCTTGTGAATCTAATCGGGCCCTCCCTTCACGATGAGAGAAAAAAAAATCATTTTCAAAAGACTGTAGCGCCAAAGCAGCCCAAAGGTATTTGATGAAACTTCCCTATAATCTTCTACTTCCTTCTAAGAAAGTAATCTACTACCAATTTATAAGTCTTTTATATTTTCATATACCTAGTGAATTCGAGAGAAAATTCAGAGAAAAAATCCATAAAGAAAACGAAAATGTTTTTGGGCATAAATCGCAAAGTATACTATTCATGATAGATTTTATATTTCGAAAATTAAATAAAACATCTTATCTTCAAAGGGTGGTAGTGAGGTTGATATCGAACATAAAATAAATAATGGGAAAAGAATAATAAGTTCGATAAATTCAACCCTATGGAGTAAAGAAATAAGATTAGAAACTAAAAAGAAGATATACCATTCCTTTGTAAAAAGCGTAGCCACTTACGGATCAGAAGTCTGGACACTGACAAAAAAGATGGAAAATAAGTTGCTTTCCATGTAAATGGATTTCTGGAGAAGAAGCTGTGGCATATCCAGAATCGAGCGGATCCCAAACGCAGCTATTAGAGACAAGATCGGATGTCAAAAGAACATCCTTCACCTGATCGGGACCAAACGGTTAAAGTGGTATGGCCACTTAATGCGGATGGATGAGAACCACTGGCCAAAGAAAATTTATAACTATATGCCACCTGAAAGAAGGAAGCGTGGAAGGCCAAAGAAGAAATGGATAGAGGACGTGGAGGAAAGCATGGCAGCCAGAGAGCTTCGTGAAGGAGATTGGATGGACAAGGAGCAGTGGCTTTTGGGTGTTGGGGATATGACTCCTTAAGTTATATAAAACCCAAATATAAAAAATAAAAAATAAAACAAAAAAAAATCTTGTCGAAATCGAACCAGTATTAGCAACGACACAACGTATTCTATTTTCTATACATGCTTTAAGTATAGTTAAGTGGATGGGTGGTTTAGGGATTTCACAACTGAACACAATAAGAAGTTGATAGACATACATGTTCTGCCCTCCCAGTTCTGCGCTGTTGTAGTCAATCAACCAAGCAAATATTTGATGAACTTTGGAGGTAAAAAACACATACTAAAGTTGGGTGAATTTTATTTGATTACCGAAAAAATAACGATGAATGTAAAATAATTTTTATTTCAATCGTTTGAGGAAAAAAAAAATTTTGAAAAATAAACTGATTGATTTTATTTCATTCATTATTAAATCAAAAATATTTATTTAATAAATATATTTAATTTTTTTGTAGATAATAATATATCAACGTTTTGAAAACACAACTATTTTTAAGTGTGTATCCTAAAGTTGTTATAAATTTTTGGAATTCTTCGATATTACGTTTCATTATTTATTATCTTAAAGAAACACATTTTATAAAAATACAAAAGATTTTATGATTGCATTTTCACATATCGTTTTATTTTAACATATTAGACCTATTCTAGATTTAGATTTTTGTGTTTACATAGTTTTCGAAAATGATAAAAATAAAAATCGTGTGCGTGCATGTGATGTCAAAAATTTCACAGAAATCACTTCAGATAAAATACTAACTCACCTAACAATCGGAGAAATAAAGAAAGTTACACCATATCGATTACCAGTGGTGCAATCTTAAAATCGATTGTATCTTCATAAAAAAACGCCTATGATAACCCAAAAACGAATCCCAAAATTGAAGAAATACAAAAATTAAAATTTACTGATACGCCTTTATAATTATTATAGCCTTCTCTTCCATCGTTATATATATATATTTCTTTGTAGTTTGTAAGAGGTATAAACTATTTTTAGTTTATGACATTTTAAAATATGCTAAAAAATTATTAGTTATAATATTATTGATATTATTATAGAAGTGGCTTTAGAAATACTAAAATACCTATGTATAGTAAAGAAAGTCACCAAGTGTAGTAATATCATTGTAATTAAAGTGCGTGTTAAACTTAAACTATCATTTACTGATAACTTCAGTTTCTGTCCCTTATACACCTTCAATTAAAATTGAGAATAAAATTCAGTTGAAAAAAGTCTTTCCTCAAACACTTCTTTTGTAAGTAGACAATAAATAAACTATAAAACCATCAAATTGTTATGTAATAGCAATTTAATGATAATCATTAATTATAATAATTTTAAGAGAATAACAATAATATTAAATAAAATTGTATTAAACCAGGTCTCTAACAAAAAACTTGGTATAAAAAAAATATACAGTATTGATAAAAGAAGAAAAATGATCAATAAACTCCCTTAAAAGTTTTTCAATCACTTATCTCTTGAAAAATATTGATTTTAGTCTTGTTTTGAGAAAATTGGTTATTTATTTTATTCTAAATTATTTCTCCTAGTGGTTCATCCTCATTTAAGAACAAATAAATGGCCAGTAGCTTGTCGCCGTTTTATTATGATTCATTTATTGTAAATTGTTACTAATTTTGATTATTTCTGGCACTTTTTGTTCATTCCTCACTTACCAGACATTGTTCTTGTTCTTGTTCATAAGACTACCAAATATTTTTTTTTTTATAATTGAAAAAGCAGACTGAATTATAACTGAATTGCCTATGTGATTCCGCCTTAAATATATTTTGTTGTTATTATTAATATTATCATTAATTTACACCGATGTCCAACAGACAGATTGTAATAATACTCAATAAAGAAAAAATTAATTTACAATATATATTACACGAGTCAATGGACTTACTCTTACAATGGACTAGAGGATTAGTGTTTTTCTCCCTTAACCATAAATAACGCCATGCCAACTTATTCAATAACATTGAGCTTCGGACGTCAGTGAGTCGCAAGATCTGAATCGAAAAAATAATACAATGTAAATTGATTTAAGAAATTGAAAAAAAAAATTAACTGAATATTGTTATAAATCGAAATAGTTATTGAAATGATGTTAATATATTATTTTTTAGAAGTCTTTCTATATGAAATCGGAATCAGTATATCACGTATATCCCGTTGGTTTTTAGGCATCTCTGCAACTATGTAACTCTGTGTTGTGGTGCAATCTCTTCATTACCTGTTGCTGTTGTTAGTTATGAAGGGTGATATTTAATACTTCAAATATATTTGGAACTGCTACAAGTTGACCTAGACTTGTCAATCTGAATTTTTTAATTATTGGCAATGTAAGAGCCCGAAAGTTAATTTGACGAACTTTAGGATACATTAAAATAAAAAGTTTTTCTAAATAGAAATTTCATTACTATTTGTGTGTGTGCGTGTTTGTTTGCCTTTATAATTGAAATCAATATATTCTTAATAAATATTTAGTGGTTTGTATTTCTAGAGAGAATATCTTGAATTTGGCGGAAAAAATGTTTTGTATAGAGGAGCCCAATGGATTTTTTTCGACATTTGTTACGTGTTACTGGAGGTAGTGACGAGATATTATTTTCATTTGGTACTTTAAAAATACATGAGAATAATTATTGGTTCACCTAGAGTAAGCAACTTTTTTAATTATTTTTTTAAGTATCGAAAATGTAAATTAAAATTTAGACAAATCGAAGAGGATGAGTTATAAGAATATTTTTTATTTCTTTCTTTGATTGTAATTAAACTAAATATTTTGATGTCAATTGTGTTATTATAGTTTGTCTATCTATAGATATATATTTATAATATTTTTAGTGTGAAATATGGGAAGAATAATTAAGAATTGGGCAGAGGAAGGAAGGTACTCTGCATGTTTGCTTCGGAGTGCATTCGATTTTACTTATAATGCTGTTTTATTTAAGGTATATACTAATAGCTTATGTCCGATAGCTAACGTGATAAAAATACTTTTAAACTTATATTTCTGATATGTTATCACCAAACTACAAAATAAATTGTTATCGCGGCTTGCTTTCAAAGGCTATGTAAGACTATCTTTAATAACATCGTTCTAGAACTGACAACAAAACAAATTCAGCTTTTTTTGTGTAACAAAGCTGTTTTCAAGAAAACATTTCCTTTCTTTTTTAATACCAAAGCCCATATATAAATAACGAAGGCCATTTTGAGAGCAGAAGCTGGAGGAGCCGGTTTGGCAAAAGGATGGTATTTTAACAAGTGGAGCTATCTGGAGCTGTGTATTGTGCTGGCTCTGGAACCTGTTCCTTCGACTTTTCTCCGCCCCGATCCTGGAAATTTAAAAATATTTCCCTCAAGGACGAGCCAGAAAAACAACTGAACTCCCTTCCACAGGTTGTTTTCAAAGGGTTATGGGATTATAACAAGAAGTATCTTTACAGAGGTCTATTTCTTAAATAATATTTAACATATCGAAAATTATAAACAAATCCAAATTTCTTTACGTTATTATTCCCCAATAATACTGACTGCTAGAGATAGATGGCTCTGTTGGATAGATGGCACATAAAACATGAAGGCCATGCAGATGGTAGTAATCTGATATTTATGATAATTTGTACAAGTTGCAATTCTGTTTGGTCTTGTATTCTTATACATTTTAATAACTTCCTCAACTGACTAATGTAAGCCATATATAGTAATCGGGGTAATTTTTGAGTTCCTTGTGTTTAAAAAAACGATTATTCAATCTTTCTAAGACTTCAAGGAGTTTACTTTTTGTTTGTTCAGTTATGTGAATGAACAATAAATTTTGGAACTTATGGGTCCAGATATTCTAGACATAAACCTTTAATCCTGATATTATCAAGTTCCTAGTGATTCTTCAGTAACTGAAAGTATATTTATATCCATAACTTTTGAGATATTGCCGCAAAACAGTCTTAGAATGTCTTATTTCTACAAAGACTTCAATAAATTCAACAAATATTCCATAGGAAATGTAATAAGAGCATAAGAAAAAATCTGGTGGGCGCAACACACAACTTTCACTTACACTTTGAACTTTGCTCGACTTTGAATAGAAATTATTTACTGGTCATGTTGGGCTATTATAAAATTTTTGAATTACATTTTTAACTGAGCTAAATCTAAAAGATTCCAGCTAACAAATCATAAATACTATTAAAATAACAAAAGTCCTATTGATTATGGATTATACGATTTGTTGATTAAGGATTGTTCGATCCGTTGATTATGGATTGTACGACTATTAAACTGTTATTTTCCATTGTAAACTTTATTAAAACGGAATTAACAGATTTGCATTGTCTGTCATAGACAAGTCATAAGTTGTCTCAATAATTTTAAATGGATTCTGTTGGAATATCGCAAAGGGAAAATTTATCAAATTATTCATTAATTTAATTTTTTTAAATGTTACATGACAATGTTTCGGAATAAACTTTGATACCTAATTATTTAAATATAATATCAGATCTATAATCACTAAACTACAGTAAATGTATTTTAGGTTATAAACACATGCTTTATGTCCATGAAATGACTTTATATTTTACTTCTTACACACAAGCACAATGAATTAGTTTTTTTAAAGTGCCATTGCCTTGAATAGGTTGTTTTTAAACACTTTCTACAAACGTAAAAATATGTTTTAAAGTTTACATTTAGTTTGTAAATTTCATTTAATTTTCTTGAAAACATGTGATTTACGTTAAATATTATCAGTTTTCAAAAATTGTTATTTATAATTTTTTTGCCGCTCTCTGTTACCTTCTACAATTTTCTATATTAGGATTTTTTTTTTCTAAAATTCTCCGCTTTCCAACGATATATTATAAGTATGCCTTCTGACTTGTATTTTCGGAGATTTATTTTCGGCCTGTATAAGCATTTTTATTTTTTTCTCCTTTATTCAATTATCAAATTCTTTCAAAAGTTATATTTAGCATTTTTTCGTAACTTTTAATAATGAGAGATAGTTAATTATTTTAAATAAACCATATTAAAGGTACTTTAGAGGAAGAAGCATATGAACATTGGGCATTTAAGCCCTGTAAAGTGATATAAATCGAGATAAGAAAAGACCACTTAATTAAATAATGATACACCGAGTTTAATCAAAATCATTTGAGCCGTTTTTGAGAAAATTGTAAAAATATGTTTTAGCGTTCTTATAAAGTGGCACTTCCGGTTAGCCGATTTTTGTTGTATTGTTTGCCATTTGTTCGTTAACTCGTTGTCCATTTAATTCCATAACTAAGACTACTATCGAAAAAGTTGCGAGGACATCTGAGGCATATATTTATCTTAAATATGTAATTTCAGTTTCGTACGACTTTTCGGTTTCAAGCTAGAGTGTTCACAGACACAGACCATTTTGGGGAACTTGATTATTTAGACTCAAGGAACCTCAAAACGTATATTTCCATTGAAAACTCAGATTCAAAAATTTTCATGATCGCAATACTTACACTTTCTATATATTACATATATAGGTAAGTGAAAGTAAAAAAAAAATCAACCGCACATTAATGAAAGAGTGTACGTATATTTGCGAATATATGAACTCTAAACTAATTTTTAAATAAAAATGTTGGAATACTTATGTTAAAGAAATACATAATATAATCCATTGCATTGAATAATAAATTGATGAAAATGAACCCTCCTCCCTTTAGCCCCTGTTAGAGGAATGAGCTATTTTATGGAGAGGGACAAAAATCTGGGTCGTTTAAAATAAGGAAAACTGTTTTAAGCAAAACAAAATAAACTTAATACTTGAAAGTAAAGAGTGTCTATTAATGAAGTCTTTAATTGAATTAAAACTCTGTATGGTAGGAATATTGCATTGTACTTTGTCATATATAATTTATATGTATAAATAAATTTGAAACTATAAATTGAACATTATTTAATTTCTTGATTCTACATTTTCAGATGGTTATATACTGCAGAAGTCAGCCAATTCTTCCAAGTTTATCATACCCAGTCTTCGTAGTTGTACCTTCTGCAACTCGGGAACCTGACACAACTGCATCCACAATGCCAGAGGATGGGTAAGTCAGTCTTTAGAGATTGATATAAGAGTACATCATTATAACAAGACAGGATTAAGTTTTTTGTTGAAATTCCATGAATAAACTAATCTAACAATTACCTATTCATTTTTATATTTTAAACACAAGTCATTACTATCCTCAAAGTAATCCCTTTAATTAAATCAGTTTTTACCATTGAATATATATATTACATTGGAATGATAAAAGTCATGTTTAATTTTAAGCTGTTTCTTAAATGTATACTTTAAGCAAAGAAACAACTAATCTTTTTTTCTTTTTTTTTTCAAATTAATCATAGGCACAGTGTGCTTTTAAGTTCTAAGAAAATAACAAAAAACTTTTTAATGGAGGTTTTGTGATTTAAGTGAACTTATAATATCACAAATGTATATATATATATATATATATATTTTTTTTTTTAAATTTATGTTTACTGATTATCAGAGGAATCAATCAAGAATATAATATAATGTATATTAAAATATTTTATAGTTTGTTAGTATATACAATATTTTGGCACCTTCAACTGAGAAAGTGTCTTTTTCATCAACTTGAAAACAAGATTTCATCATTCAAGGCATGGGGGATGAGCAAAAATTTTAAAAGGCACAAGACAAGAAGTTCATATTGTATATATTCAAAACATTACAGACAATATTTTGTTTAATATTCTTCTTTTCTTGATGCTACTGCTCAGAATGAATATCTTATATTTTGGCTTTGCATACAATCTTCCTCCATATGCCTAGGTCCAGGCACCTTTCTTCTCCATACTTTTACTACCTGGTCAGGTCTACCCCAAAAGCTCTTATTAAGCCTGTAATGGGATGCATTTTTCTTCTTCTGTACTGAACCTCTTCTCTCAATATTTTCTTAGTCATCTGGTCATCTGGTACAATCTCTGTATGCCCAGGCGGACGTAACTTTCCCAATTTTGGCAATTCTTATTATGTCCTCATGCCCTGTGGAGGTAATCACCTGAGCTTTTCTTCACAATGTGAGCACACCAGATCTAATATATGCCTCAATAATTTCCTTTTGAAGACGCTTAGGGCTAACTGTCCTAAAACTTTCAGAGTTTAAGTTTCCTCTTCATAGTGCACTATTTGCCTTACAAGAGTTTGGTTGTTATACATTTTTTTATACATTTTAAGTTTGGTTTGTAGGTCAAGAGACTGTATTTCATCAATCTTTGCAGACTGTTTCTTGTCAAGGTTCCACTTCTGAAATCATCACTCTCCTTATTTTTGCATTTTAGTTCCACTCCAAGTAGGTGAAAGCTACAAATAAATTACACAGCATTCTCCTTAATATTTAAGCAGTCATTACCATATATTTTGTCTTCAGTTCATTAATTAGTAGACTAACTTTTCAATTTTACCATCCACATAGCTAACAATTTCGGTCTGAGAGGTTATTAGTAGGAACAATTTTACCAACCTCTTTATTTAGAATTAAATTAAACAGTATGACTGACAGAACATCTTCCAACCTTTTACTGTTTTTAAAATGATTTTGTGGTTCCTTCGATTTTTTAAAAAATTGTTGATCATTTTTTTTTATAGATGAAATTTTTTTTTTTTTTTTTTTTTCTCTACGCCTAAGTAACGCCTGCTTTGTTAGCCATGCGTGCTCTTGTAGTCCAATACAATTTTACTTTTCGAGCATAAAAGCTGTCCATTTCATTAAAGCAGCATCTTATGTCCTGTAATGCAGGGCATGTATCAGGATGTTCTCCTGTCATTATGTCTAAGGAACATAGAGGGCATGTCGAGCTATCTTTTACACCGATGCGATGGAGGTGCTTCTGAAGGAAATCGTGGCCTGTGAGCATTCTAAAGCATGCCACGGCTTGCCCTCTAGGGAGGTCTCTAGGAATTCTGCCATTTTCTTCCAGAAATCCACTCCATCGTTTCCCTTCAATTGTTTGTATATATTTCTCTTTCAGTGAACTTTGGAGGGTCTGCTTTATGATTCTTTTTGTTGGATCCATGGCCAGAGGAATATCGGGTTGGATCATTCCAGAACCTATTCTGGCCAGTTTATCAGCTTCATCATTTCTGTGGAGCCCGCAATGGCCTGGTATCCACTGGAAAGCGACTTCTGTCCAATTTTCCTTTAATCAGTTCAAATATTGATGGATTTAGGAACATTTGGATTTATACTATATCCATTTTTTAGGGACAAAATGGCTGCCTGTGAGTCAACAAAGAAAGCCACTTTCTTGTCTTTCCGTTCAAAAAAAATAGTAAAACAATTTATATGTAAGTGTTATGTTCAAAAGATATTGATCAGTACAATATGTATCAAACACCCCTACGCAATAGGGCAGCTCTACTTTAAATGAAATATTTCTCTCTGAGCAATGATCGTTTTGATTAGATTAATTAAGTTGTAAGGAATTTTAAACTTCTCTAGGTCTTGGAACAGTTTGAGATTGCTGATACATTCAAAAGCCGGCTCAAAGTCAATGAAGAATAGGTGGGCATCTGTATTGCACTCCTGGCATTTCTCTAGTATTCACTTTAAAAAAAAAAAACATTTTATCTGAGGTTTTACAATTAGGTTGAAAACTGCATTGGCATTCAATGAGGATTGTTTCAGAGTAGACCTTAAATCTATCCGCCAGGACCCTAAAAAAAATCTTATATGACATATTGAATTAGGTGATTTCTCTAAAATAATGGTATGAGTCTTATTCAGGTTTTTAAAAATCAGAAATATTGGAAGGCATTTTCTCATCTATCCAGACGCTGAGAATTATGTTCTAAGGTCTTTTGTGCAGAGTATCCTCTACATTTAAAGAGTTCGCTAGGAGCATAATTATTTTTTAAGGAAATTGGACAGAGTATCTTTTAATTTCTCAAAGGAAGGCGTTCCACTGCCAGGATTCTCCTCAGTATTCCTTTTCTCCTCAGTTCTACTCTGAGCTTCGTCTAGAATAGAAGAGCCAGTATTGAGAGTTTCTTCAAAGTGCTCTGCCCACCTATTCACCACTTTAATATCCTCTCTGAGCATCATACCATTTTCATCTAGACATGTGTTCTTTCTCGGCTGAAAGCCATTTCTCATTCTTCATACAGCCAGATAAAATTTATTTTTTTCCTTGTCTTCCCTTAATTCCTTCATATCCTCAACTTTTTTCTTCACTCATTCTTTCTTTCTCTTTAAGCATTACGTCATCCTATTACACTGATTCTCGGTAGGTTTCTCAGTTATTTCTCATATGTTGCTGAAATATTCGATGTTGATCCTTGTTATTTTCATTAATAGCTCAAAACACTGATCAATAAACCACTCTTTGTTTCTTCCAGTATTTCTTTCACCTAATATGTGTGGCACAATTTCTGGAATCATCCCATTCATACTGCTCCATTCCTCCTCCACATAACTCTTTTCTTCCTTTTCTATTAAAGCTTCTCTAAGTTTCATCCTTACTATTCTAATCCTCCTTCCTTTTTCAGCTTTTATTAGCTCTTCTAAGTGATAATATAATTAGCAGTTTGGTTCTCTGTAGGCTCTAACATCCATTATATTGGAGACATACCTGGAAAATGCTAGTACGTGACTTATTTGATTGATGATTCCACCTATTGGGGTTCTACAAGTATCTAGATGTATCCCCTTGTATTGAAATGTCATACTCTAAAGTATGTTATTTCTGGATGCAGAAAATAGTGCCAAACAGTGATCATTTTATGTGTGACATAAAGTAAATATTCCCGCCACTCCATAAATTTTCATTATAAATTATCAGTAATTATATTGAACTTTTACAATAATGAATGAAATGAAGTTATGATTATTAAGTTGTTATAATGGAATTCCTACTGTTACATTTATAAGCGATTAAATACCCAAGTAGATAAATATATTTTTCTTTGTTTATCAGATTTGAGGTCTCACAATTTCACAGCCAAGATGAGCTGGGTCGTGTTGTCTTTGGTTTCCATGGTCCAGACCAGTCAAGAATGGAGGCTAGGTCACTGGATGGCTCAGTTAGGGGATCTTATAGCTACATTGATCCATATGGCCATATAGTGAAGGTGAGTAACTTAAAAATAATATAATTTATGAACTATTTTCAGTAGGGTTAGAATTATTATCAAATTTAATTACTTTGAAAATAAAATTAGTAATATCATTGAATAGTTGAGGAGGTCAAGGTCCTTCATGGGCTATAGCACCACAGGAAGAAGAAGAATATCATTGAAGTCTTTTCCAATCATTCCTGAGTCCATTTTTTGTAATCTGATTAAAATTAAATTTTAATATTTTTTAATTAATATTTAATAGAATGATATAAGTAAACTATATTGAGCAAACCATTCAATTTGATGAAGTATTATTATTATTAAAATCGGTGTAGTGTGCACATCATACAACTTTCACTTACCAACCTTAGAGTAGATAGATTTTCTTGTAGGAAGTCGAAGTAAAAGCGATGGTATAACTACATTTAAAACAATTAATTACAGTGTTTTTTCTGCCCATTGAATGAGTTAAATTTATACATTTGTATCACTTTTGATTTCCTTTTACAACTATGTATAGTATCAAGCAACACAATGATGGTGGAGAAAAAGGATCTTTTGGAAAGATTCTGAGTTTTATCAGAGACATTTATCATGCAACTCGTCAAAAAAATAAGTTAACTAAAATAAAGTTAGCAAATATTACAATAAACTTAGTAAATATTGCATATTATTAGGCTTATATTAGTAAATCCTCAATATTTCGCATGAAAACCATTAAGAAAAATATGGATGAGTGATACATAAATGATAGACTAACAACATGAAAGCCCTGCACAGAGGGGTATTGGGTATCTGTCAAGGGAGAGGATTTGCAGAGGTCGGGCACTCTCCACTAAATAGTTGAGCTTGATTCATAACTTATACCGTATAGCGTCCTACCCTTATTTCTTCTTTACTTATCAATAAATTTACTTTATTAACTATATTTAACCATTTTTTATAGCAGGTACAAATGTGAAATGTTTAATTATTTCAAATAAAAAAAATTAAATGTATTTTATAGGAAGAAATTTTAAAAAACGTGTATCAACTCTGTTGGAGAACATCAATGAGGCTGACGTTGTATCAAAAAACTGCTTAATTAAAGTGTCACTTCCGATTTGTTGATTTTAATGAAAAAGTTGTTGTAACATCATAGGCATATACAAATCTTTAATAAGCAATTTCAGTTTAATACTAATTTTAAAAAATTTAAAACTAAAGTATAGAAAAATTTAAATATTTCGTACAATGATTTTATTTTTAAGCCTCTTGCAGAACCTCAAGATATAAACATAGAATAATGAAACTTTTGTTATCATAAAATGCAACTTTTGACTGATGTTATAAAGTGTTTCTACTGAAAAAAGTGTTTTTCGTTGTACCCTCGGGTACGATACTTAAAAAAAGATACTTATCTCTGCTACTAAAGTACTGTTCCCTGCTAATCAAAGTTAAAATGAAAAAATGCTTTCAAAAAATCCCACACAAGGATTAAGGGAAATAGCAATAAAAGATGAGAATAGTATTTGTTCTTGTACAACGGATTTAAATGCATTTAAGCTACCTGGCAGTGTGATCTCTCTTCTACTGGCAAACTCATCTTATACGGAATATACCATTTTATTTACAAATAATTAATGAAAGAAATATCTATTAAGATGGAAATAAAAAATACATTAAGTTAATTAATCATCAGATTTAATGAAACTATACCAGATTTAATGAATTTAAACTTTTTTAACAGAGGAGGATTAACTTTTGCTAACAATATTCATAATCATTTAAATGTGTTCATAGATGCAGTACTGGGACGATGGTACAGGTTTCCATATAGCTGGTAATGCATTGCATGGTGATGGTCGTCCAGCATATACTCCTGAAGTGAAGGCTGCCAGAGAACAACACCTTAGAATATACAAACAAACCTTGGCAGCTGCACAACATCTTTTGCAACAGAGGTTATAATTAAATCTGCTGTTAAAAATAATTTCTTTATTTAAAAATAATAGTTTATTCATTTTAATTATAGAATCACCAATAATTTTATATTGTTTGTTTCAGTGATGATAGTTCTTATTCAGACAACCCTGATCATGGTTCTGTTCAAGACATAAATCAATATGAAGATGTTTCACAGGTACAGGTACATAAAGAGCATCAGGATAATAGTTTGTATGAAGATGATAAAGAGTCTATTTCATTGGAGAACCCTGAACTTCTTGGTAATCATAATATATACCAGGAAGATGAAAAGAAACAAGAAGATGATCCTGAAAAGGAAGAGGTAGAAGGCGAGGTTGATCTTGGGGAAGATGTTGTGCCGGATGAAGACTTGGAAGAGGATGGATATGAAAACGACCAGCCTGAAGCAGGTAATGATAAATCTACTGAACAAGAAGAAGAAGAAGAAAATGATAGAACAAAAGAAATAAATGATTCTTACAATCATGATCAAATCATTATCAGACTAAAGCATTTAATGGGCTACAATCAAAATGAGGAAAATAACCAACAAGATGTAAGTGAAGATGAAAAAGAAAGTGTAGAGGGAAATGATAACCCTAGTCAGGTTGTATATTTCCAAAATCACAAGATGGAAGAAGATGATAGGGAGAAAGATGAAGAAGAAAATCATGCAAAACAGCAAAGCGCTGAAGCTGATGACAATATTCAAGATTCACGACAATATTATGCTGAAGATGAATCTAGTGAAAAATACAGAGATGTCAGTGAAGGAAATGACAGTCTTGATTATCAAGAAGAAGTTATCAGAAATGAAAGCGATGTAAATTCAGATGAGAATAATTCAGAATCCGATGTCAGCTATGACCCTGAAACATCAGAGAACAGAAATAATGAAATGAAACTATTTGTTCAACCCTTAGCACAACCTGAAACAGAAAAGATTGGATACCAAGCAGCAGAGAAAAGCAGTTCCAACACAGAGGGAGAGGTGCCACCTGCAAAAAAGAGAGGGTTCTTCTATCACTTTCAGCACACAATTCCTAAGCCAACTGAGAGGATTGAAGAAGCAGTAGAAAGAGGATTGAAATCAGCTGATGGAATAGAGGTTCCACCATCAGCGATACACGATCCACAGGTTGCTCCATATCCATTTTATAACTAAAATGGGTTATTATCTGCTAAATGTCTGTCTTTGATGACAACCAGTAAATATGGCCAACTTTAACACTGTTTAAAATGAGGATCATTGGTCACTTGCAAATCACTAGTAGTGATTTCCACATTCGCCTGGAAATCAAATTAAATTGAATTATGAACTATTTCTACAAGTGAACTTGTGATCAAAAGATCCATACAAAACATAATTTCAATATCAGCTCCAGCTGGAATCTATTTTATGTTTGTAATTAGTATTTTATAAATATAATAATAAGAAATTTTTATTAGCTGGATTAGATGTTTTTCCATTAACATTGACAGCAATAATGAAGAACGCGGAAGGATATAAACAACATATTTGCTATGGCTGTGAATGCAAATGTTATACAATTCGAGTGATTTTGTGACTGTTCTTCATGCCCATTAAAGTGTAGTTGTAAATAGGGACATGTTGTAGTTTTATATTTTTACAAAATTTTTAATATATTTCTTTTATAAGTATTTAAACTATTTATATTTTTGTGGGGAGTGGCAATAAACAGAGAAGGTTACTTTTATTAAAAATTAAAAAGTTTCATTAAAATTGCTTGATTGCTCATCTAATTGCTTCAGTTTGGAGCTTATTAGGATTGTCATTTCTTTTTTGAGACAATGATTAAACTATTGACTGTGATGTAAGGAGAATTCGAGAAGATAAAAATAAATAAAAATTTATTATCAAGATTTTTTTTTTGTTGACCTTATCCCATTTCATCAGAAAATATTAAATTAAGAATACAATTATATGGCTTCTATTTTCTTAGTTAAAGATATATCAAAGAGTTAAAGATCTGTTCTAATTTGCTACACTTATTTCTTTTGTTAATTAACTAATATAATCATTTACAAGTAAATAAGTTATATGTCTAATAATGAAATGATAATGTGGTCATCTTTACTATGAATATAATGCTCCTTAATGATTGAATGCTATGAAAATAAGTTATAAAATACTATTGATGAATTCTTTTTTATTTATAAATTTTTATTATTTTTATTTATAGAAATATTGTTATATATTTTTCACTGGTGGTTTATCATATTGTATTTATTGAAAAAATATTAAGTTCATAAAATTTTATAAATGCAAAAATTGTTGTTCTGTGTAATCCTCACAATGAGGCAACTGGGCCTCATCTGAGATTATGTGCCATACATCTTGCTATTTCACTGGTCTTTCTTATAACCAACTCTATGAAGTTAGCAAAGAAAACTGTAAATAAGATGTTATTAGTCCAGCATCAGCTATGACTGTTTTTGCCTTTCTTCCCTTACCTCATGTTTAACACAGTTCCTTGTCACATGTTAACTATCATCAGAGAATTATAAGAGAAAATAAATAAATTAACATAGATCTTCCCTACAATAGCATTAAAGATATAAAATATAACTTGTTTTTGCTTGCTTGTCTTAAAATAAACAAATGTTGTTTGCTGTGATTCCTGTAATAGAAACTTATCATGTTTCATTATCTCTCACAAGGTACCACAATTTGATTAATAATGGTATTAAAAGAAAATCAGATTGCTCATAAAAAAAAATCTTATTTTTGAATAAATTGATTTTTGCAAAGAGGGATAGGGGTGGTGTGGCTGAGCAACCAGATGATAACACGAAGTTCAAAAAATATAAAATAAATACAAGTTTACCTCCTTGTGCCAGTGGAGCTTTTAACTCTGGCATTAATCCCCTACCCTCTTCCTTGACCTGGTAATATTCCTCTATAGCCTAAAAGGCAAGAAAGGGGTGGACAAAAAAAAAATATTGTAATGATGGTCTTCATTAACTATAATTGTATAAAAATCAGAAAATATAAAAAAAAATAATGCATGCTTATCTGATATCCGGGCATATATTATTACAGTAAGGCTCGAAATCGGTTTTGTACCAAATATAAGCTCCTGTCATGCTCAAATACCATTAATGAGGTACCGTTGGATTCAGAATTTCACGGGGGGTTAGCGAATCATATTCTCCACTTTTGTTTTTCTTTCTAAAATAAATAAAGTCGATACAAACATTTTGCTAGGCTTCAATACCTGAACGGTGGTAGGTCTGTAGATCGATACGGGACAAATTGGATCTTGAAGATTTTGATGTGTACAGCAAGAACACTTGCTAGTTATAGTTCTTCCGGAACTATTGGATCCTACGTTTTTAAGCCCAAAAATGTACTATTTTCGAGATAACGCAAGGCATAGGGTTCGTATCTACACAACCTTACATTAATTGTAGTACTTTCATTGAATAAATGTCTCATTTCGTCGACTTGAGGTCTCTATGATCCAGAGAGGAGGAGTTTATATTTTTTATCGATGGTGCTTTTGATCGGCAAGCCTTATCATCGTCAATTTTTCACCAAATTTCAATATTGAGCCACCAATTTTGAAGACTTCCTTCTCCTTCAGGCGGACAAAATAGTCCAATCACCCCGAAAATTCAGGCAAACAAGTTATGAAAGAAAACAAACTTTATTTGCAAATAACTAAAAAATTACACCCTTTTCCCTGGGTTATGCCCATGAGATAAAGAGATAAGAGATTACTAAAGTCCCTGCACAATGAAAAAAAAATCATTGAAAGCGGACCATTTTTAGCAAAGATACAGCTTACTGAAATTTGTAAACATGTTGGTTCCAAACAAAAATGAAGATTTAAATTAATTTTGGTTTTCTTTGTCGATTATATTTATCGATAAAGTAACATTTGTTTTCTTTATCTTTTGATACGTTGCATTATTTTATTTTCTTATCAATCTGGCATTTGATAACAATATGCTGTGCGAATTTTTCGCACGGGCCTACTAGTCTATTATGAAAACTAGAACTCAGGAATTTCCTAAAATAAATTCTCATTTGAGAAAAAAAACTCTACAGTTCAACATCTCATCCCAAGTTACTTACTATATGGTGGACTTGTCTTTCTAAACTGCAAAATATACTTTATTTTGTGTCTGTTAGAGACAAAGTCTCACAGCCAAATAGCTATAGGTTTTATTATAGTATACAGTTCCATCAGTTTAGGAATGAATTGAAGCTTTTCGATAATAACATTTTGAATACTTCATGTTTTGATCCTTAGATCAAATTTTAAAGAATGAAATTCTTTAAAATTATTATTAAGTATTATTGGTTATTATTCTTTTAGGATTTATTTGTTTCCAACAGCAAAGTTTTAAGAGAAAAACAAAACAAAGTTGGGAGATGCAATAGTGTAAGGTCCAAGGATGACGAACACCCTTGAGACGAACACCCAGAAGATGCCACTATGAAATTTATAAGCATTTTTCCAGCTAGATTCTAGATATTTTACACTAAAAATACTAAACACTACGTAGTTATTGCAAGTTATTTGTACCAATTATAAAGATATGCATAAATTTTTTTTTTCATCAAGGAAAGAGATGGTTATCAAAAAAACTTATAATACTTGTTAAAAACTTATAATCTAAAATAGGTAACAATAAAATAATTTCCTGTAATTTTATTTTTATTTTTATGAATGCCACCTCATTCACCATCTCATTTTTCAGTATACTACAGTCAACTATTGAGTATTCAATTTTTTTTCTTCATTAATTAATTAATTTATTTTCAAAGAAAAAATGTTTATTTTAGTCCATTAAACTGAAGAGTGAAATTAAGATGCAAAATTATCCTACTGTCTTAATTTTTGAAAAATGTCTGCTAATTGTCTAATTTTAACTTTCAGACTCTTACATTATAAAAACTCAGATTGCTTTCCATTAGAACAAGTGAGCCCTCATTACTTCTCAAGTGATTTATTATACTTTTTGAATATTAAAAGTGATTTTTCATTACATTACTTAGGTATTATAAAGAAAACAACACAAAATAGGGCTGTATGAATGAGGAGAAAAATGACTTAGAAAAAGGGCCAAAAAAAAAAAAAAAATGTGTGATAAATCGTATAATATATGAATTATAATTATAAACAGTAAGTCTAATAATAAATAATCTATTACAACTATTATCTATACATTTTGATTTACTCTGATCTACTAAAGCTATTAATAATAACTTTTATTTTGATAGAACTTATTGATTTTTGTTTAAATGTCTTAAATTATTAAAATATTTTTTTACTTTTCAATATAGATCTTACAACCTCCTGATGTCTGGTTTGAGACATCACCTTAGTTGCCCTCCCATGTGGTACACTATATTGTAAAAAATAAAATAAAAAACAGGCATAAGTTGAACATGTTAGTTATAGTAAAATTAGAGTATTGTAGGTAAAATATCAAATACAATTAAAATTAAACTAGTGATAACGATGAATGAATGAACACTAATTTAGAATGCGTCATTTAGTTATTTTATTTATTACTCTATAAAAGTATCCTCTTAAGTTAATAGCTCAAATATAGAGTAGAGTTCCCTTGGTGTGTTACTACTTGTACTTGAGGAACTGCTTCCTCCGAAGAAATATTGGTACATATTGTACATCATGTCACCCATTCCATAAAAGATGTCTGGAACATTGATGGTTATTGGAAGAAAAGGTAGCTGCTCCATAAGAGTGCCCAATGCACCCCACAGTATCCTTCCTTCTTCAACATCCTTCTTCGGACTGGAAAACATAATTACAAAAATAATTTCATGCAAATTGTTTAAATTATGGATCTATGTCTCTAGCATATGTGAATATAGTTGTAAGACCATTTTCATTAAAATGAAAAGGTGCACAAGAAACTAAAAACGATTTCATGTTGTATAAAAATATTTAATAAAAAATAATTTATTAAAATACTGATAAATAAAAATAATTGTGTTGTTTTCTGCATTGCAGTGTCTCAGTTTATATAATAATTAGTAGTTGAAAAATTCGTTTCTGGATCAGACAAGTAAAAATAATTTAATATTAACCAATATGAAAAAATAATTTAAATAATTTAAAAAAAATTATAACTTAAAAAAAAATAAAAATTCTAGTTGACAAAGTTTATCTGACATGTAAAATAATATTAATTTAATAATTAATTAGCTTAAAATGAATTAATTTTACTTTTCATCATTTATAATATTATTTCTCTACTAGAAGCTTTATTTTTCATCTTTTATATTATTATTTCTCAACTAAAAGTTTTACTTTTCATCTTTTATAATAGTATTATGCTAGCCACAATTATTAGTTGTTGATTTATTAAAGCTTTAACATATCAATGTTTGACAGGCTTTCTCAGAAGCCTCGAGAAATGAGCCTTGACAGTTTCTCTGTGGTTCGAACGGGGTACAAACTTTAGGTAGCAAACAAGGGCTGGAAAAAGGATCTTAAGGCCCACTTGCTGTACTTGTTTCCCTCACCAGTACCAGTAGGCTGTCAATTCATTATGAAATTAAATACTTATGTTCTCATGATTTTTATAACCAACATTTCCTAAAATGATTTCATAAACCAATTAATTAACTATGCAACTATTAATGCCGATTATAAAAAGTTTTGGTAGATTATTAACTAGTTGCAAATTATTAAAAAAAAAAAAATTATTCATACAATAAAATTATTTACTTGTTCCTTACAGCGATCTCCAGAAAAAAATATTTTCTTAGAAAGATAAACATGCAATTTATGTTCTATGATGCAGTGGCAGATTTTCCTTTCCAATGTAATGGTGTCCTCTCTACTAACTTATTCAGATTTAAGGACAGTTATAAATCATTCTATATC